ATAGATAGATAGATAGATAGATAGATAGATAGATAGATAGATAGATAGATAGATAGATAGATAGATGGAGAGAGAGAGGGTTGGCAGGCAGAGTCAGGGAGAAGCCATGTAGCCACCACAGGAGACAGACACCTCCACTGGAGCCCGCTGAAACTTTGACCTTGTGGTAATGCACAGATTAAAGGAGATGGGTTAGTTTAGGATATAAGAGCTAGCTAGAAATATGCTTAAGCTATTGGCCAACCATTGCAAATAATACAGTTTCTGTGTAATTATTGTGGGTCTAAGTTTGGTCATTCTGGGAATGAACGAACAGGTTCTACCTACAGATCTCTGTGAGTTAGAGGCTAGCCTGGTCTACAAGAGCTAATTCCAGGACAGGCTCCAAAGCTACAGAGAAACCCTGCCTCAAAAAAACAAAACAAAAATCCCACACCCAAAGGACATGAGTTACATGGAAAAGGCTGAGCACAGGCATGATTGAGGAAAACTGACCCCACAGCAGGCGTAGTACTGTGAATTTTCAGAAGAACAAAGATTGGCAACTGCTGATCACTCTCTTCTCACTGAGCACAATTAGACACATTTTATAGGCTCCTTTGAAAGTGCAGAGCAATTATGACAAAACTAAGTCCAGGTCAAAAGAATGGGAAGAGAATTCATGTCATTTCCTAGACTTGTCTTAAAAACGTTTGAGTTATAAGCCTTGTTCCCTTTCTCCATCCTTAGCTGAAGGGATAGTTATTAGAGGCCTAGGGGACATGAAGCCACAAGGCTGAAATATTGTGGATTCTACTTTATTTTTTCTAAAAAAAAACTTTATTTAACTTTGTTTTATGCGCATTGGTATAATGATGTCAGGTTCTCTGGAACTGGAGTTACAGATAGCTGCGAGCTGCCATGTAGGTGCTGGGAATTGAACCCGAGTCCTCTGGAAGAGCAGTCAGTATTCTTAATCACTGAGCCATCTCGCCAGTCCATGGATTCTACTTTAAAGCAAATAAATCCCTGTACATCTACACTCATCTGGTGGTAAAATAAAGTTAAAAACAAACATCCCATATGTTAAGTCACTGAAATTACAAAATGTATCTATTAAATATAAAAATACAAAGATAAAGTATTATATAAGCTTACATGGAGAAAAAGAAAAATAGGTCATATACAGAATAATCATAAAGACCAGAAGTCTCAATATCAACAGAAGAGTTATGAAGCAACATTGCAACATCATTGAAATTCTGAAGAAAAATTAATTCTGACTTAGAATCCTATTCTCTGACAAACTACCAATTAGGTGTGGAGTGAAGACATTTTCAGAAATACAACGTCTCAAGAAATTTATCTTCCCAACATGCTTTGTCAGGGAGCAACTACAGTCTAAGAGCCACCAAAACAGTGAGCCAAGAAATAAAGATATTGGGATTCAGAAGCAAAAGACACTCAGAAAAACCCCCAAAATAAATAGCTCTATATACTAAAAACAGAAGGTATCAAAACTAGAGCTGGTTAGAGGCCATCATGGTGGCTTATACTGTAATCCTACCACTCGGAGACTAAGGCGAGAGGACTACTATGAGTCCCAGGCCAGCATGGCTTACGGTGAGACCCTATCTCAGAAAACCAAACCAAGAGATTGGAGTTGTCCCTCGGGGAGTAGAGTGCCTACTCTCGTGTGAACAAAGCCCTGTGTGGATCCCCAGCGGCACAGAAGCCAGGTGTGGTAGCACACACCTGTAATTCCAGCATTCCTCTGGAAGTAGAGGAAAGAAGTAGAGTCATACTTGCCTACATCTTGAGTCAGAGGCCAACCTGGGTCACATGAGACTCTTTCTTTAAAAGTCAATAATAACAATGCCTTTAAAACTTCTAAAGGGGCTAGAGAGATGGCTTGGCAGCTGACAGCAATTAGTTCTCTTAAAAAGAACTAGGGTTCAGTTCCCCACTGGGCAGCTCACAACTTCCATAATTCCAGGTCCAGAGGGATCCCACACCTCTAGCCTCCTTAGTCAATGGTATTCACATGCACAGACATATACACAGAAACACATATACAATTAAAAATAAACCTAAAAGGGCTGGGTGGTGGTGGCACACACCTTTAATCCCAGCACTCAGGAGACCCTGTCTTGAAAAAAAAATCAAAAAATAAATCTTTTTAAATGAAAAATATACTATAATGTAAATATGTTTAGAAATAGGTAATATTAAAATAATCAGTTAATGTGGCTAAAAGTATTAGCCTTTAGGAGAAAAAAGTCAGGGGGTTGGGCTATCTCATAACTCTCTTGGTGTGTGTGTGTGTGTGTGTGTGTGTGTGTGTGTGTGTACTGTCTGGGTGTATGTGAAAGAAGTTGTGTGCATGCATTCATGTGAAGACTAGACGCTGATATTGTGTTTCTTCCTTAATTATTTCTTTACCTTATTTGTCCCCTTCTTCCCCTCCCGCCTCCCCACTTCTTTTTGATTTTTTGAGACAGATTTCTCTGTAGCTTTGGAGCCTGTCCTGGAACTCGCTGTGTGGATCTCACAGGAGATCTGCCTGTCTCCACCTCCCAAGTGCTGGGATAAAAGGCGTGTGCCCCCCCCGCCCCGGGTCCCCCCCCCCCCCCGCCTTCTTTTCATGTGTATGTGGTACTTGAGTGTTTGCATGTGTGAGCATGCATGGGAAGGACCAAGACTGATAGGAATCTTCAATTGCTCTTCCATATTTTATGAGGTAGAGTCTTTAGAACCCTGAGCTCATATATGGCTAGTTTTACTAACCAGTTTGCTCCTTGCGCCCCTCGTCTGTGCCTTCCAAGGCTCAAATTATAAGCATTTCACCACACCCATCCAACATCTACATAAGTTCTGGGTATCTGCACCCTCAACCTAGCCTGACCTGGGACTCATTAAATATGCCAGGCTGGGATTAAAGGTGTGCACCACCACCGTCCAGCCATTTTTTATATTCTTTGGTGTTTTTGCCTGCATGTATGTCTGAGGATGTGAGAGGCCCTGGAACAGGAATTACAGACAGTTGTGAGCTGCCGTGTGGGTACCGGGAATTGAACCTGGGTCCTTTAGAAAAGCAGCCAGTGCTCTTAACCACTGATCCATCTCTCCAGCCCCCATCTTTTTTTCCTTGACAGACTACAAACTAACTACATAAAGATCAGAAATAACAAAGCAGTGCCATCTACGCCAGACATACTGAGGAAGTCCTTTATGTTCAAAATGTCTATGAAACTGGGTGTCTTTTTTAAAAAATATTTATTTATTTATTATGTATACACTATTCTGTCTGTGTGTATGTCTACAGGCCAGAAGAGGGCACCAGACCTCATTACAGATGGTTGTGAGCCACCATGTGGTTGCCGGGAATTGAACTCAGGACCTTTGGAAGAGCAGGCAATGCTCTTAACCACTGAGCCATCTCTCCAGCCCGAAACTGGGTGTCTTGATAAGAGCATACACCATTCGTCATTTCATTTCCTTTTCCTTTATTTTTGCCTCTTTTGCAATTGCCAAAGTCCATACATGAAAAAAGCTGTAACATTTGATATAATTTTGTTGTGAAAGAATAGCTTAAAATCAAGGTCAAAAGTAAAATTGTTTTTGAGCAATTTTAATTTAAGCTAGCTATAGAGTCTCACAATAAGAATAATTTTTATCTTTCCTATATCGAACACTTACAAATTAATTACCAAATACTTGTTAAAAATCATCCTGGTTTTATAGCTACACTAGAAAAGAGTGTGACAAATTGGAAACTTTACACGAACTATGACATGTGTAGCGACAAAAACAATTGTCAACGATTTCTGCCTCTACTTACTAGTCACTGCACAACGGAGAGAACTCGGCACCTGCTTAGAACTTAACGCGTCTATGGAAACTGTTAGCTGCCCTTCTAGCGACGCTCCCTTTGGCAGTCCTGCTTCACACTTCCAGTGAATTATTAAATACCTCAAAATCTGAAAAGAATACGATTCAAATGAAACACAATCTTTAAGATCATGGTCCTAACAAATTTGTAGGACACAGTTAAAACTCTACTATAAAATACTGTACTCCTGCTTATGAAATGTCAGATTTGCTTTTGTTCACAGCATAGTATTGTATCTAAACACAAAAAATAGTTGGAAAGCTAGCTTGGGAGGCAGAGGCAGGCAGATCTCTGTGGGCTCGAGGCCAGCCTGGTCTACAGAGTGAGTTCCAGACACTGAGAAACTCTGACTTGGATTTAAAAAAAAGAGAGAGAGAGAAAACCAGGCAGTGGTGGTGCATGCCTTTAATCCCAGCACTCCAGAGGCAGAGGTAGGTGGATCTCTGAGTTCGAGGCCAGCCTGGTCCTCAAGAGCTAGTTCCAGGATAGGCTCCAAAGCTACAGAGAAACTCTGTTTAAAAAAAGGAGGAAGAAAGAAAGAAAGAAAGAAAGAAAGAAAGAAAGAAAGAAAGAAAGAAAGAAA